TTGATATTGCCACTAGTGTTTCAGTTCTGCTTACACCGGAAACTAGACACGTGTGAGCAAAAAAAAGTTCCCTCCACAGCATTTTGTGTGGTAGGTGGCACCTTACATCTATCACAATGCATGGTTTGACTATAAACATAGATTCCAAGGGATGAAGTTCGTACCCTGAGTGTAATATGTACACGAAAGGGTTCTCGATTCAACAGCGCAAAGCGAAAGGAATCTGATGTGCTGATCCAGGTGTTTGAAGGTCCTAAGGCCAGGGAGGTAAGACCTGCACTCCCTTTGTTACAGACATTCTTATCCTGACATTTTTACAGTTGTGGCAGAAAACTCTAAACTTGTCTTCTCGGCGCCTACTGTAAGGCACGCAGAATATGCCACGAACGAGCTGTATTAATGCAACTTCACATTGGCAGGAATGCTCATTTTCTCGACATTGTAGGTATATCACCTACTTCCGATGATTGCTCTTCAGACCCGCATTATATTGTTTTTGATGGAGGTGTGTTTGCTGGCTTTATTTATCATTTTATGGTCATTTGACTTTGTCCTATAGCGGGCAGTAGAAGCACTCATCGTGTTATTGCCTCAATGCTAAAAAAAGGAAATAGGGAATCTACAGTTATAGGACTGCGAGCAGTAAGATGTTTTTCTCTGGGCTTCTTCAAGTATTGACAAGGTCTTTCAGGTATATGGAATTACAGTGAGCTGTGGTGTTTTTTTTTTGAAACGCACCTACCATCACTGAACTTGGAACTTCATTGCAGTCGGGGCTTGATTACATCTCCAAGACAATCCATCCCTTATCAAAACTAGGAATCGATGTAAGTGATGCCCAATGAATGTGCCAATACCCATCGGACCATCTGATATCACAGGAATTCGATGCTTTTTCGGATGACTCTGGTCATACACAGCTAACGTTTACTCCCAATGCCTTTGATGGGCATTCAACCCTCATGAGCCATCAGGCTATTACTGATGTTGAGATTTGTAACTCTTTCATTAGAAAGGTCAGTTTGTCTTTGACCGTAAAAGTCAGAGTACTTATGTGTAATTTGCCTTGGAGATATTCAACAATGCTAACCAGACCCTACATGGTGAGCCCAGAATGTCTTGCCATACAATTCTTTGTGACATATATCTCAAAGGGGACCAACATATGAAGGAGGAATTTACTAATAGCAGGAGGCTAACATCTCAAACGGAATCTACTGGTGATCCTGAAATTTCTCGTATTGCAAACACGCCCCGGAATGCCAAACCCCTTCCCCGACGTGAAATAATTTGGAATGCTTTTGGCTTCTCCAAGTCTTTGTTATCTGACATATCCGAAACTTATGACAACGTGATCTTTAAAATGAAAGCATTCAACTACCTCGCCACCTTGGTCGTGGCGTCACAGGAATTCGATGCGATTATGGTTGCGAAGGGTATAGTCGAGAAGAAATTACTTTTACCCCAGATGCATTCCGAAATGCGGTACTAATATACCAGCAGCCATCCCCAAATGAAAGGTGTGATTTGTGCGGAGTGCCTCTACAATGTAATCATACCGCCACACATAATCAATATACGGAACTGACCACGATTGGAACCGATTTGACAGGTCCTCTTACTTTGCTCCACAATTTTACTTTGCTCGACAACTGGGCTCATCGGACTGGAAGGGAGATTCTCTATCAGGAAGATTGCGTTGGGCCCCCACATGCTTCAGTTTGGATTAGCAGAGTTTACGGTGCGTCACATTATGTTTCGGTTTTGTAGAAGACTGAATGTCAATTCTAGTGGACCGCGAGCAGTATGGCGCTAGCCAAGCGATGCATAAAGACACTGCGAGAGTGAACGCTGCTACTCAAACTGTGAATGTCCTGAAAAGCCTCGGGCTACTATGACTGGCCAGACATATCTAGACTATTAACACCCAAGCTATGGCAGCCTATGGAAAGAATTTATCTAATTATTTATTGCTTGCTTTTAGTATTTATCCGACCATATTATTAATTTATCAGCTGGACCACGCTCCATTCCAACCCGTCATGACTACAACAACATGCACATTTCACAAAAGCCATCTGTTGCTGCTGAAAACATGAGCTGCTTTGCTAGCTAACCTCTGTTGATTTGGTAGATGGCCTAAAGTTTCAGGTTAAGTAGCGTCCTTAACATGGTCATATCATTGGTGGTTATCAATGCTCAATAGCAGGCTTATTTCGTAATGGGCCTTTCCTCTGTGTCTACTATAGGAAATTATAATAATAGAAGCAAGGCAAAGATGAAATGGTTGGAAAAAATTGTTAGTATCCGTTCTTTAATCTTCAAGTTAGAGAGTTGAACTTACTAGTATATTTATGTCAAATTTGCTCTATATTATTATTATTGCGTTGTACTGTTAACCACTTTATAGAAGGTGGTTAACTGCGGGAGTGGGTGGATCAGACCCCAGTAAAGCCGCGATTAGCGTACAAACGCAATCCTGTTTATGAGGCGACTCGGGGGGAAGTCATTGCCTCGGTGGCAGGCTGCCAGTGGATTACACTGGACAACCTGGATCTTCCTAGCATAGCTGGAGATTAGCATGCCCGTCGCCACCAGCTATTAATGTAGTGTACCTCTTAGCTACGGGAGAACCAAGTTTTAGTTGTACGCAAGTGACGGAACTCCTATCGCCAAATCATAAGCGCCGAGTTACCTATTTAGTAATAGGGGCGGCGCTAGCGCTCCACATGGTGAAAAGGCTCGCCTGTTTTCTAACTTTCCTTTCTCCATCATCACCTCTCCCTCCTTAAGCGATGCCTCCCTATCATTTCTCCGAGCTGGAAACTCTTTTCCTCGATGCTCTCGATTCCGTAGCCTCGACGATAAGAACGTTCAAATCAACTTATTTCTTTCATTCCTTCCAACTTCAACTTTTCGCATGTCACCTTGAACGATAAAGCAATAAACATTGGCAAGAAGGAGCTTTCACGCTGGATTGCTGAAGACTTGTTTATTCTCATGGATGATACTACGGACCTTGACGTATCTCAGGTGAACTTTGTTTAAGTTTAAGCATTTCCTAGTATCTCGCTCAACTGACTACAGATTTCTACGCAACTTTTTGGCTATAATACTAACGTATCACGCTCTCTATATGGTTTAATTCCATCTGAATCAACGTTTCCCGAAACGCAACAAGGATGACCTTTTCTCCTTGGTGTGTGGTCTTGCGCGAAGTAACGAGGAGTTTCGAGACTTCTTTTTCGCGAATATTTCAACGCCTTTGGCCTCAGCTCTCCATTCTCTTCAAGACACTATTCTGGCCGACTTCGAGAATGATTCTCCGGAGCTCAATGAAGACATACCGATGCCAGACTTAAAGCGACGCCGCAAGGTCGAAGAAGTTTCAACCGAGGAAGGAGTCGATATCAAACGGTTCAAAGTTGAAGGTCCGCGTCTCCTTTCATCATTTTCCCGCCCCGTCTCACTATTTCGCCAACATTCGCAGAGTCCTCACTGCTAAAATCACGGAAGAAGACTGGAACCTCAAAGAACTTTAAGAAGAAGAGCGTTTCTCGGACTAGAATCTCCGAGAAACCTTATCGGGTACTGTGCGACTACCTATTTTCATGGTATCTTCACTGATTTCCTTCTTGCCGCCCATCTCAGAAGACTTCGAAGCTACGAGAGAGAGATACGCTACGAGAAGTCACGAATGTCGAGGTGTGTATCAATTGCTCCGTAAACTTTGTTCTTGATTGATCTCATATTCTATATTAGATGTCTTTTGCGGTGGAGCCATCTCCGTCGCGAACAGCCCGCCATCTTTTGGATTCGCCCTTTTCGTCAGATTCCATTCCTTCGCCCGAAATTCCTTCCAGTAAATAAAGTCCCAGTTCAAACTTTCGGACCGCTTTAACCTTGCGATTTCTTTCTAGGCAATGAAGATTCTTTGCAAGTCGTTCAAATCTCAGAATCGACGTTTACACCCCAGGTCTCTCCCGCTCTTGTACACGATGATCCTCCTTCTCCTTTGTCGCTCCATACTCCTGCAGCAAGATACTCTGCTGAAGATGTCGCTCTGGATACTGATGATCTTCAATCCGCCAGAAGCACAGACACAACCTGGCCTAATCACAATCCACCCAGATTGATTTCGAACCGGCATTCGTTCCAGTCCGTTGCACAAGCGGTTGCATTCTGGAATCAACCAAGCAACTTCCCCATTAACCCTACTACTGCTACTGCTACTACTACTACTACTACTACTACTAGCCTGCTCCCTCGAGCATCACCGATACGCGTTTCTCAATGGCGTCCTGACTCTGTCTGGTTCTCTCCTCCGCGGTCCAAACCATCCTCAAGTCCGCCTTTAATGTCAGCGACTTCTACTAGTTCTACTCCAAGTCCACCGAGTCCTATATCTCGCGTCGCATTCACTATCCACCTCGACCTTTCTCACCCATACTTCAGACAAAGTCTGGACTTTTGTCAATCACGTCTTCGCCGATGCTCAAAGTGCAGTACGTGAATACGTATCTGATCTTCAAGACGGATTGTTGATGCTTGCTCTCGCATATGAGCTCTCGCATTTACCGTTCCTCGTTCTAGTCTTTGTGTTATACCTTATGTATCCCGATGGCTTGACGTTGGCCTATGCAGGTGGTGGTCAGATCCCTTTGACGTTGACCGTGAGGTTTGGAAGTTCCTTGGGTTGAGATCGGTTTTGGATAGTCGATGGAAGCTGAGTGCTAAGCGTTGAGAGCCGCCAAACGCATTTATGTACTGCTTGGGTCAAGTACCATTCGTCGTTCGTTTTGTTTGTAGATTGTATCCGTTGCCTCACACTACTATATAGCTAGCCTTTCACAATATCGATCTCGCACGATTTGGTTTAGATTTTGTTTGTAGATTATTTCGAAGAATGTATGTCAACGCTCTGTACCAACGTATATGCATGGAGCAAAGTGAGAAAAAAAACACAATACACGAAAGATTGAAAATCAATAACATAGAATCTCCCTGGCTGGGAGTCGAACCCAGCTTTCGCGCGCTCAAGAGACATGAGCCAGATACATAATGACAAGCGCGTGTACTAACCGATATACTACCAGGGAGTTAATAGTGTACGGTTACTTATCATCAAGGTTTTTCTTTGTAGCGGTGCTTTACTGTAAGTAATTACATTTCCATCGACACCGAACGCAGACCAAGGATACAAAGGCAGGTATAGTAGAACCTACCGAGCTAAACCACCAAAAACCAGTTTCGACTGAGTCTGCACCTTCCTTTGCGCTCTCAGCGCCTCCAATTCCATCTGAACCTTGCTATTCGCAAATTCCGAAGCGGGAAGAGTGCTGAGAAAAGTCGGTACAGCGACACGCCTTACGCGTCCAAGACCAAACGGAGTCTGTACGGTGTCGAACTGGGACCCTGTAGGATAGACAACCTCCGTCGAGGGATTAGCACGAGCACTACGAGGCTAAGGTTGAATGCGGGATAGGATGTGCCGCTGTCGTGGATGGGAAGGAGGTGGATGAAGCGCGCAGAGAGCGGGCCTGGCTGGAAGACTTGGAAGTTTCCTCTCGTTCATGGTTGGGAGAAATCGCGCTTATGGCCCGCACTACTCTGAGAAGTAGCTTTGCTGGCAGACCGCTCAGCCATCGGAATGAGTGCTTCTAGCGCACAAGGCTCCAGGACTAAGGATCGGAGTTGCGACAGAAGCTGAAAGTACGGAGGAATCCACAATCGGGAGAGTAGTAGCTTTGCTGGCAGACAGCTTAGCTATCGGCAGGGCCGCTTCTGCAGCCTGTACTAAGGCTTCAGGACTAAGGATCGGAGTTGCAATAAGAGCTGAGAGTACGGAGGAATCCAAGTGGAGAGTACTCCGACTCGGAGTTTCCGAGGCATTTGCTCGGTCAGTGTCGCGCAAGAAAGTCTTCCGACTCCGTCTCCTTCGAAGAACGTCCGATACGTCCCTCACATTACTAGACTGAGCGTTATCCGGCAAGTCTTGGTGCGATGATGTCGCTGCGAAAGACTTCGGAGTTTTCGGGATAGGTCGACGCCTATGTGTCGGCGATAGCAATAGTGTTTTCTTGGTCTGGCGTTGAATAGTAGGAGAAACAGCCTTCAGGATTCGAGGTAGCGGAGATTCTGGTAAGCTGTGAGGTTCGATTTTTAGCTCGCCGCGGGGTATTCACGATTTTAGTCTTTTCGGAATCCTGATGATGATGTTTAGATATTGGAGATTTCGAAACAAGGCGAGTTTGTGGCTTGGAATCGGTGCTCAAAAATGTTTGTTTTGTGAGTAGTTTAGAATCAGATTTGGATGGGCGAGAAAGTCGGCGATTCGACGAAGTTTCTTTCGATTGGGCGAGGCTGCTAGCAGGACTACTAGCTGGTGAAGCGAGACTAGGATTATCAGAGTGGCGGTCAACTAGCATCAATCTCTTCAATTTCGGACTTGAAGTTTCTTTCGAATGGAAAGAATTCTGTGCAGAGTTTCTTCGGGGATGCGGTGGTTCCGAGATACAAGGAGAACGAGCTAGACGTTGCGGAGAAGAATTCATCTGAGAGAGGCGAAAACTGTCAAGGAAATTAAGATATTATACAAAAAATACATACTATTATGATGGTCAAAGCGAAGTTCTTTGGCGCCTATTCTCTGCTTCCATGTTCCTCAAGGTCACCTAGCTAGTTTTCTGCTGGTCTCAACGTCAAGGTCCAGACCTCAATGCTGGAGAGGTAGCTTCAGGTACAATTGAAAGAGAAAAATAGCTGCATCGTGATCCCAACAGAGTTGTGTCTGTCGTCAAGGTGCCGCATCAACTTCTGTCATCTCTCCTTCGCTCTGTGCTGTGAGGCGCTGTGTTGCTTTTAACTGCTCTTGCGCCCTCACTCTCTCCCTTTTGCTTTCACATTCCATTCATTTGTAACAAACCTTCATTTAAAACCGTTCATTTCGATGGCATTGGGATTCACTTCGGTTGGGAGAAAGAAGGTCGCAGCTCACCTCACTCTTTATTTCCTCAATATCATTGTACTCGCGCTTGCTGCACGGGTCAATTCGTTTCAAGAGTTTTTCTGTGAGTCTTCCGAGCTTAGATCTTTCAACTGATTCTAATAATTCTCTAAAAGACGCTGCTGATCTCTTCCCACTTGGATTGTCCATAACCAGTCTCGTCATCCTCACTGTAATGTGCGCTCTTTCCTCACTCAATCTCACCTAAGCTTACACTCCATGGCTAAGGATTACCCTTGATTTTGCTACGTCCTCGTCGTATACAGGCCGTCCCCAATTTGAGATTGGTGTTTTTGCCGTTCTGTCCCTGTTCTGGTTAGCGTTCAACGCCTTTTCAACTTCACGATGGCGTCAGGTGCCTTTGAATTGCTCAGCTGTGCCTGCTGGTCTGTATGCTCTATCCCCTTCGACGTTCTACTGACAATGTTTCCAGGCTTTGAGGATGTCAAAACTTGGTGCCAGGATCTTCAAGCGTTGAAGGCGTTTGTTTGGATAGAATGGTTGTTCTGTACGTTGCATTTATCTTCGCCGATTCTCTTTTGACCGAAGACTACAGTCTTCTTCACGGCGTTTGTCACACTTCGCTATGTCATTGCACAAAACACTCGCGGAAACAAACATATCTTCCGCATGCCTCTTTCACGCTATTCACCGAACCAGGCCCGTGCAGCTGATGTCGATTACACGCGCAACAGTGAATTCATGCAGTTCTCTGAACCCAAGTTCTAGGTTCATAGTGCAGCTCTTACGACAATGGCTATAGGGTGAAGGAGAAATGACGAAACTACTACAAATTCCCGCTGGCTAGGAATCTTCATGTTGGCGTTCAGACCCTTTTTTTTTCCTTTTCGAATTCTGGACCCCAAGTACTTATTATTATTATTCGATTGCTGTTCGGTTGTGCTTTTACGATCTTTCAATGCAATTGTATGTACTATATACCCCCCCTCCAACTTCTACCGCTTTTTGCGTTCTGGATCGATCCTGTGGCTGCAACAGCAGCCAAGCCGCCTCGCACGGACATTAGTAGCATTTTTGCTGGCAATTTAAGATTTCATCGAGTAGGCGCATTGTCGGGGCGGCGGTTGAGGAGGAATATATCGCTTCCATACTCTGCGGCCCCGAATCGAATGGCTTAGTTAGGCCCTGATGGTCGGAATCGAAGTCCTGAATACAACCTCCCGCAATCGGTAGTTTATGATTTTTTATACTAGGACCAGGAACGCTGAGAACGACTGAGGGATTGTTCTTGTCGAATCCTTCTCAGTGGCGCTTTGCACAAAAGATAGTCTATAGAGAGTCAAGAGCGGAAATGAAAGGTCTATAGCGGTACTAATTACAGTGGCATCCAGTCTCATTCTACTAGCAGATAAATATAAATATACGAACAGCTATATACATGTATAGCAGATTCCAAATACAAAAAAGGCATAGATCATAATTCCGAGAATCGTGTGTGATGAAAATATCCAAATAACCAAAGCGAAAAAAAAACTATAGTTTAGCAGAAACTGTAGCTGACAGAGCTTGGCACTCTATTAAGCTTACAGACTGATTCCTGTCTTCGTCTCTTAGAAGACGGCGCAGGATCTTGCCACTGGCATTGCGAGGAATGATGTCAATAAAGGCAATACCTCCTGAGAGCCATTTGTGCTTGGACTTTGCGTCGGCGACGTGCTGTCAAAAAGTTTCGTTAACACAAGAATGAGCAAAGTATCGTATCGGCACGATTGAGATATGGTTTTTTTTTTTTCGCATACCTTGTAGATGCTTGATCGAAACTCAGTTGCATACTTTGGATCGTGCCGAGCAAGTGAGGCTGCCGCCGGTTGCAGAACGACAAAGGCTTTCGGTAGTTCTCCAGCATATTCGTCTGGAGTGCCTATAACGGCGGCATCTGCGACATTGGGATGCATCAGAAGATGTCCTTCAAGCTCTGCCGGGGCGACTTGGAGGCCCTTGACCTGAGGGGGATTTGATCATTGAGTTTACAACAAAAGCCAGTCAGTCAGCGATTCGGAGATCACCTTGATGAGTTCCTGCAGGATGGCTTAAAGTTAGCTCGGGGGGAAAATCCTCGACGTCAGAGAACTTGTCTGACCTTGATTCGCTCTACGATGAAGATGTCACCGTTGCTTTCGAAGAAGACTTGATCTCCTGTTCTGAGCCACCTGTTTTGAGCTTGGATAAGTCGTCCAATTCTTTTCTTTTTTTTTCAAAGAATATGACGAACCCGTCAACAAATGTTTGCTTTGTACTAAAAACCAGACGACGTGAGCAATCATTAAACTTGGTGTAGGTTAACGTACGCTTTCTCGTCACCGTAGTATCCGAGAGCGATTTGACCTCCTTGGACATAAAGCTCTCCGATTTCCCCGACCTGGGCGATCGTCCCATCCTCCTTAACCACTTTCGTAAGTGTACCGGGAAGAACCTGTCCGCCACTACCAAGTGTCCCAACATTTTGAGATAAGGGGAACTGAAGGATATTTTCAAGTGAATAAATTGTAAAATTTATATGATCGTGGAGTCACTCACCATGCTAACCTGATCGTGAAGGATATTTCGAGTGAATAAATTGTAATTTGTAGCTGGAATTACTCACTGTTCCACAGGTTTCAGTCATTCCTAGGAATTACATTGATTAGGACACTCCGAGGAGCTCGAAAGCCTAGAGGGGACCAGCTTACCATATCCTTGACCCAAATGAACAACGTTCGGCAATGCTCTTAAAAGTCCGCTGGTAAGGGATGCGCTTAGAGGAGCCGCTGCCACAATGCAGTCTGCAAGACCGTCGGTTAACGGCTAGGAGGAGTCATGTAATTGACTTACACCGCACGCTGGACAGCGAGTAATTCTTCACTGCCGGATGCTACAAGACGTCAGAGTTGTCCAACTTCAACTATCATCTAGGTGAAGCACAAACTTTGCAGAGTAATACCGCTTGAGGCGGAACAATCCTGTAAAGGTCGATAATCAGTACATATACGCACAACGGGAAAAGAGCGGTACGTTAAATGTGTCATGCGATATCGCTCAATACTTTTCAAGAAATTTTCAAAATGGAACCTCGGAGCGAGCACTAGTGACATC